CCTTGTCCAGCAAATCGTGGGGAATTCCTCCCCCCCGTCCGAAATCCTGCCAAAAAACGGGAATTCCGGAAAATTCCGGAAAATTCGGGTGATTTCGGGGTGATTTTGGGTCATTTTGGGTCATTTCAGGGAGTTTTGGGGTGTTTTGGGGTGTTTGGGGTCACTGCTGGTACTCGGTGACTTTGTCCAGCAAATCGTGGGGAATTCCTCCCCCCCGGTCCGAAATCCTGCCAAAAAACGGGAATTCGGGAAAATTCCGGAAAATTTCAGGGATTTGGGGTGATTTTGGGGTGATTTTGGGGTGATTTTGGGTCATTTCAGGGTGTTTGGGATGTCGGGATTTGGGGATTTGGCCGCATTTTGGGCCATTTTTGGCACATTTTGGACACATTTTTTTGGGCCATTTTTGGCCATTTTTGGGCCATTTTTGGGTCATTTCTGGGCCATTTTTTGGACATTTTTGGCCATTTTTGGCATCATTTTGGGCCATTTTGGGCCATTTTTGGCCACATTTTGGGCCATTTTTGGAACATTTTGGACACATTTTTTGGGCCATTTTTGGCCATTTTTAGGCACATTTTGCACCATTTTTGGCACATTTTTTGGACCATTTTGGGACTTTTTAGGGCCATTTTTGGCCGTTTTTGGGGCCATTTTCGGCCACATTTTGGGCCATTTTTGGGGCCACCTTGGGCACGTTTTTAGGGCCGTTTTTGGGGTGATTTTGGGCCGTTTTGGGCCGGTACCGGATGACGAGGTCGATGTCGTTGTTGGCGATCGTCACCACGATGTCGGGGACGTTGTACGGAGTGTCCAGGTGCGACTCCATCGTCGCCCTGAGCCAAAATCAGCCAAAATTACCCCAAAATCACCCAAAATCACCCAAAATCACCCAAAATCACCCCAAAATCAGCCACAATCACCCCAAAATCACCCAGAACCACCCAGAATCACCCAAAATCCACACAAAATTACCCCAAATCCTCCCAAAATCACCCAAAATTACCCAAAATACCCCCAAATTACCCCAAATCCACCCCAAATTCACCCCAGGTATCCCCAGGTGTCCCACACCTGTCCCCAGGTACCCCCAGGTGTCCCCAGGTGTCCCCAGGTATCCCCAGGTGATGTCACCTGTCCCCAGGTGTCCCACACCTGTCCCCAGGTGTCCCCACACCTGTCCCCAGGTATCCCCAGGTACCCCCAGGTGTCCCCACACCTGTCCCCAGGTACCCCCAGGTGTCCCCCAGGTGTCCCCAGGTGTCCCCCAGGTGTCCCCAGGTGTCCCCCACCTGTCCCCAGGTATCCCCAGGTATCCCCAGGTGTCCCCAGGTGTCCCCCACCTGTCCCCAGGTATCCCCAGGTACCCCCAGGTACCCACACCTGTCCCCAAGTGTCCCCAGGTATCCCCAGGTGTCCCACACCTGTCCCCAGGTGTCCCCACACCTGTCCCCAGGTACCCCCAGGTATCCCCAGGTGATGTCACCTGTCCGCAGGTGTCCCCACACCTGTCCCCAGGTACCCACACCTGTCCCCAGGTGTCCCCAGGTGTCCCCACACCTGTCCCCAGGTACCTCATGGCGTTCTTGAGCAGCTCGGGCAGGACGTAGTCCAGGGGCAGGGGGATGAACGGGAACCGCGCGGCCACGTGGCCGTTGATGCGCACGCGCGGCGCGTTCCCGTACTGGTGCTCGCAGAGCCGCCTGTGCAGGTGAGACACACCTGAGACACACCTGGACACACCTGAGATACACCTGGGCACACCTGTGTGACCTCACCTGGCACCTACAGCCACCCCCTGTCACCCCCCGGGTCACTCTGTTCCCGTACTGGTGCTCGCAGAGCCGCCTGCGACAGGTGAGACACACCTGAGACAGGTGAGACACACCTGGGCACACCTGAGATACACCTGGGCACACCTGAGACACACCTGGGGTACACCTGGGGGACACCTGGACACACCTGGACACACCTGGGGATACCTGGGCACACCTGGACACACCTGAGATACACCTGGACACACCTGGACACACCTGAGACACACCTGTGTGACCTCACCTGAGACCCACAGCCACCTGCTGGCACTTGCTGTGCCCTGGCTTCCCCCAGGTGTCCCCAGGTGTGTCCCAGGTGCCCCCAGACCCCCCCAGGTGTGCCCAGGTGTGTTCCCAGACCCCCCCAGGTGTGCCCAGGTGCGCTCACCTGGCGAAGTCCACCCATTTCTCGATCAGTCTCTTGGGGCTCAGGCGGGTGCAGATGATGCCGACGAAATCCGGCTGCGGTTTGGGGAGAAAAACGGGAAAAACGGGAAAAGGTGAGAAAAAAACCGGGAATGGCGGGAAAAATCCAACATCTGCATGGCCAGGTGTGCCCAGGTGTGTCCCAGGTGTGCCCAGGTGTGTCCCACATGTGCCTAGGTGTGCCCAGGTGTATCTCAGGTGTCCCCAGGTGTGCTCAGGTGTGTCCCAGGTGTGCTCAGGTGTGTCCCAGGTGTGTCCAGGTGTGTCCAGGTG